GGTCAAAGAGAACGTGGGGGGGGGGGTGGTTGGGGGGGGGGGGAAAATCACACTTCTGACTTCTAGCAGTCAGCTGTCTCTTTAACATGCTTGAGGAAGTTAGCTAAGAGGGCAGCCAGTTTTTCTCTGTACTGGTTTAGTGAGCGGTGTGTGACCTTTTAACCTTGTGAGCCAAATGATTGGCATGGGGCTGGTCTGTGGGCCGGATCAGACTCTGTGCGCCCCAGGATTGGGCTTGCACATCTGCATTTAGGCCACACTGTCCCTGCCAAACCCTGTGTGTGGACATTATGTCCTCAGGCCTCTGCACTGTTTTTGCCTGGTCCTCCTGCATGCAGGGATTGGGGCCCTGCGATACCACAGTGCCTCCGCCCGGGCCTGTGGAGAGTCCCACGGGCTGATGACAAGGTGCTGTGGGCTGGATCTGGTCTGTGGGCAGGGGGTTGAGCACCCCGGTCTTACTAGCCAACAGAACAACTTCTAGCTCAGCACTTTCAGATATTGAATAATGTGCCGTAAACTGAAAGCTTTCTCTCACTGGATGAGTGGTTGAGTCCAACTTTTCAGGCTGCTTGTATGTCTTCCCAGGGTGCTGTGCAGATCATTTTCAGAGGAAAAGGGGCGCATGCAGAGGCAGAATACATAGATAAGTTTGCAAACCCTTTCCCTGCAGCCATAAGAGGTATGTTTATGTGCGACTTTCTCCTCTGGGTTCTTTTCTTCTTGTCTTGGATAAAAATCTTGTCATGTTCTGCTTGCCCTGTTGCAGCATAGGACCAGGATTAGGATTATTCAAAAGAGACATTTAAGCGCATGGTTACATGGTCAGAAGATGATGTTACTTCTTAAAGGTTTTGTTTCTTCTTTGCCAAATTTGGGCAACAAAGAACTTACCTGAGCTTGGCCTGGCACGAGTCTGAAAGGCATTGTTGAGATGGGGGCTGGAGCCAGGTGTGAGATGCTGACAAACCCATTTAGAAATACTGTCAACATGAGAAGCACCTCAGTGTTTGGACCACAGCCTTCTATTACAGGTGAACTGCCCATCTTGGGGAAGGCCTCCCTGCTGTCTCCCTTCACTTCTGCAGGGGAGAGCCAGGGGTAGCCAAAGGGGTGCTTAATTCTTTTGGCTGGAGTGGATTCTGTATTTCCATGTTTTTTCAAGGCTTGTGGTTTTTAACATTAATGTTAGGGCGTGATTCTACTCTGCCAAGGGACTACGCAAACAGGATTCTCACCAGGCAGGAGTTTCCAATGCATTTCCAGCCTGCTCCTTGGTGGATCCATTTGTGCTACATTTTAATCCTGTCAGTAGCTCTCCAGAGCCACGGAGAGCCCCTGGATGCATGTGCTGAAACTGCATCTGCTATCTAGACCTCTTAGCTAACATCTTGCTGTGGAGGGTTTGTTGTGGCTGCAGCAGCCTGAGAAAACCAACCAGATTCAGCCCTTAGATGCCACGCTGAGTTTGCAGAAACTCCTGGGAGGAAACTGATCTTTTCCATTTTACGCTGAGCCAGTTTCTTTTGAACTGGAAACTTCCCAGTGGTGCTTGTTGTTCCTACATTGGGTCTAACTTTAAAATTGCTTGGCATTGCAGTGTTCACTCAGGTCATAATCCTTGGTGCGTATTTTGCCTTGAATTAGCTTTACCTCAATTCAAATGCTTTCCCTAAGACTATCCCTGAAAGCATCGTCATGCCCCTTTATAAATCTGGGGTGTGTCCACACCTTGAATACTGTGCCTAGTTCTGGTCCCCACACCTCAAAAGAGGATATAGGAGAATTAGAGATGTTCTAGAGAAGGACAACAAGGATGATCAGTGAGATGGAGGGGCTTCCTATGAGGAGAGACTCAAGAAGTCAGGCCTGTTCAGGTTAGAAAAGAGATACTTGAGGGGGAACATGAGGGTTTACAAAAGACTAAATTGTGAAGAGAAGGTCAATAGGGATTTATCATTTAATCTCTCTAAATATACAATGAGGGGTTGTAACATGAAATGAGTAGGTCATAAGTTGAAAATGAACATAAGGAAGTTCTTCCGCTCCCTCCCCCAAGCGTGTCATTAAGGTGTGGAACTCATTGCCACTGGATGTGGTGGAAGCTGACAGTTTAGCCAGATTCAGGGAGGGACTGGACACGTGCTTGGAGGAAAGGGGCATCAGTAGCTATTGAGCATGGGAGTGAGGGGTACAGCCTCTGAACCAGAACTTCCTGAACCTTCAATGCTGAAGGCTGCAAGCAAGAGAGCAACATTGAGAAAAACTCCACTTCCATCCTGTTCACTCTCCCTTTCAGCATCTACTTCTGCCTCTGTGTGATACGGGAGACTGGGCAAGGTGGATTTGTGGGCTGACCCAGTAAGCGGCAGTTCTTATGGGTTGTCAGCAGTCTCAGCTGGAGGAGGTGCTCTTGTCATGCGAGGTGTCTGCTGCGCACACTCTAGCATGGCCTGTTAGCAGCTGGCAGAGATTTATTTCTCTCTCTCTGAACAGGGTTTGTGGACGACCTCATTCAGCCGGCCACCACTCGGCTCCGCATCTGTCGCGACCTGGAAGTCCTGGCAAGCAAGGTGCAGACCAATCCCTGGAAGAAGCATGCGAACATGCCACTCTAAACAGGGCTGGTGGATGGAGCAGAGCACAAATATGAACAGCATTTACCCATGCTAACGCTTCCCTTCTGATTGGCTGCAGCCTTGCACCACAATAAACTCCACAGCACGTACGCAGGTGTATTTGGAATTACGTCACCAGTGGGTTTGAGTTGGTTTTTTCTTTAGCAGCAGCTCAGCCCACCATCATAACAGCCTGCGCCACATGACTTGGCTCCAAAAGGGGGCCTAAGGGTTGGGATCTAGGCTCCCAGGCTGGAGGTAGGGAGGGACCTCCCTCGATTCCTGTGGCTCTAGGAGCTGCTTGGTACAATCATGAAGGGCTGTAACCATTGATCCACTGCGAGCTTTCTAAGGAAAGAATCTGGGGGGCTCTGGGAGGGATGGATCCATTGTCTTCAGATTCACGTGGCATCTCTGCACTGAGCAATCAATGAATCTGCTCATTAAGACTCCCAGGATGCTCCCTTGTAAAGTGCTGGGGGCACAGAGGTCTTGGAGTACTGGGGACTGTCCTCAGTCCAGAGCCATGACTAACCTATTCTGAGCTCTCTGATGTTCCCTTCTGAAAAACGGATGGATAATTACAAAAGAAACAGGCAAATCACCACCATCAGGCAGACAGGTGTATGGTGTTGGGGAGGTCAGTAGCCCACAACATGGCATATAGGTGCTCCATGTATGTGCAGGCCCATGCAGTGTCTGCCGTGCCTTTAACTGTATGGTTCTTTCACGTTCCATGTACCTGGTTTGTGCGCATGTAACGAGAAACTGAAATACGAAGAGAGCCAATCATTGCTAACATTTTCGCACGGCCGTTGTGGTGACATCTGTTTGGATTCCTGGCTGACAGGGAAGGGCACAGTTACGAAAGCCCCTCTCCAGTTAAAAGAAGTTTATTCAGTGAGAGATGAGGAGGAAGAGAGATGAGAAGAGGGAGGCAGCAGCAAATGTGGAAGTGTAGCTGTTGGCCAGTGCATATCTGACTTTGCTTTGGATTATCGGGCACCTGGCTGTTTACCAACACAAAGGCTTTTCTGGGCTCAGCCTGGCTGTCTGACGGTTTCAAGATCCGTCTCAGACCCAGCAGCTCCAGGAGGCTGCATTGTCAATCTTCAGCACTGAGCCCTTCAGAGTTTTGGTGTTCGTGGTAGTTGTGCACCTGGGAAGGATCTGCAACCCCCCAGCTTGGCAGGGTGTTGACCTGATGTTTTTGTGCAGTCTCCCAGCCCAAACCAGTCCCTCTGCACTGGCACTTGTAGGAGGGGAACCAGTTGGATCCCTCCACGGCAGGTTGGCTTCCTCTTTCTCTAGTGCTGCCTTTTTCCTGCCAGAAGCACTGTTGTCTCAGGCTGTTTGCTTCCTGCTCCTGTGATCTCAACACCTTTGCTTCCCTCCTTCCTCACTGCGATGACATCCTGTTTCCCCATCTTGCTTAGCTCCCAGTGCATCCTGCCCTGTCCCTCACCATGGCCAAGCTTCCTGTTTGCCCTCTGCTGTCAGTGCCACCACCTCCCCAACAGTGCAATATGAACCCCTTTGACTGCTGCTGCTAACCTCTTTCCTGTCATACACCTGCTCAGTGAGCCGCAGTCTGCCAGTAAAAGACCCTGTGTGACTGGTCTTGCCCGCCTGCCTCTCCAGTGGTGTCCCAGCTCCCATCTTGTGTTCACCTCAGCTGGTGGTGACTTAACCTTTGGCCTCCACACCATTCTCTTCCATGCTGCCATCACAATCCTCCTCTCCTCCTTCAGGAGTGTTTCTGGCATCCTTTCCCTGGCCCAAGCCTGGGGTTTGCCCCCATCCTCAGGCCTCCTGTCTTTGTCAGGTGCCTCTGTCCACATAGTGCTCTCTGACCGCTCATTGTTCCTCCTTGTTTAGGTTGGTAAGATAAGGCCCCAACTAGCTCTGGGATGCTCCACTGTGTCATCCTTGGGCACTTGCTTCTCAGCCTTTTTGCTTGCTGGGTTGGCTTATATGGGATTTGGTTGTCATTATGTGGCTGGCTGATAACACCATTTCTGTGTTCACACTGGCAGATCCTTAGTTGGTGTCTCACAGTCAGCTTAAAACACAACATGGTCAGATACAAGGGTTTCTCCCTCTGAACCTCTCATTCTTTGTCCCTGCCACCATTACTATGTTGCTCCTGGTCTCCCAGTGTTTACTGTCAACTACATTCACTCATCCCAAGGTGGCTCTGGGATGTGGTGAGGTCAGGAGGGTGGGGGTTGGGACGGGGGGACTGTTGCATTGGGAGGGCCATGGATAAAGTTCTGAGCTAGGAGGCAGAGGGGACGGGGGCTGGACTGGCAGGAATGGGTAGTCACGTGAATGAAGGTGAATTGCAAGTGAGCAGAGGAAAAGACGATAGTAAGGAGCAGCTCTAGCACGGCTGTAAAAAAAGCATCAATCTTCTCTTCTACGCCTCTGCCCCATCCTAGAACATGTCCTTATTTTGTTTTAGGAGAAACCTCTTTTTCCTTCTTTCTGCACCAATGCCCTGTTGCCCACCATGATGCTTCCCCTTCACGATGTCCTGCCCTGGTTTTTCACTTGGAAAATATGATTCACCTGCAGGATGTAGGAAGGAGCAAGTGAGGGATGAAGGGGGTGAGGGGGAAGCTTACTACTCCTGCCCCTTGGCTTGGGCACCAGGCATACAGGATGGTCCCCCTGGCTTCAGAGCAGCCCTTAGTGCAGTTCCCTTGGTAATATGCAGGAGATGTGCTCCTCTCTCCTGGGACCTCAGTGACATGTTGCTAATGGTGTGCACCTGCGGCGAGCTGAAGGGTTTCAGGTGGCACAAGTACTGTCCCTGTTCCAAGTCTCAATAGAGCAAAAAAGTGACAGCCAATTTGGGCTGGCCAATCAGAACAGCGTGGGGTGAGGGGGCTGAGCACTTGGATTTGGCCAGGATTTTCAAAACAAGCTCTGCAAACGCAGCTGGCACCTAGTGCTTTATAACAACGCCCCTTACCGTCCTCATCTGCACAGGGAAGTGAGGCACTCACTGGAGATAACCGAGGTTTTCCCATGCAGAAAGACAGCATTTATGCAGGGCAGTTTGGCAGCTGCTCATCTGGTGTCTAGCCCGAGGCAGGAGCTGGGGGATATGAGCAAGGCTGCCGGAGGGCAAAAAGAAACATCTGACACCACAAGTAACAGACTTGATGTACTCAGCCTGGAGGCAGCTCCTCCCCTCTCCCTGCAAATCCCATGTTACAATCTGAAGTGCAGGCCTGCAGGAACCCCTTCAGCGGTGAGCCAACAGCAGTACAGCCCAAGGCGCCGGCTCACCTAGCAAGGGACCACTAGTTTGTAGGCACTGGGGCCCTGTGCTAAGCCCTCCAGAGCTGGCGTTCCTCCAAAGAGCATTGGCTGTGTTTCAGATGACGGCCAATAACTGACGTGGCATCCTGTCCATTGCCACTGCAAAGAACTGCCCACTGAGTGAGGGTCTTGTGTGGACTCACTGCATGCACGTCATTATTATTTAAGGACTGGAGGTCTCTGACACCATTCCTGGATAGTGGAGAACTAGTTCAGCTGGATCTGTACCACCTGCTTCTCCACCCTCTTCATAGATACCTGGGACATGGAGAAGCCTGGAAGACCAGACTGGCACTGAGCTGGCTTGCTGGAAAACTGCCACGACAACTTGGTGCGACACAATCACACCAAAAAATCATCAGCCCACAGCTACACTGGCTGCATTTTCAAGGATTGAGTGACGGAATAAAGGCCTTTCACAAAGGAGTATTACAGACTGACAAGGAATCACAAAGGGATTGCTGCTGTGGAAGGTGGCCCCCCCTCTTGGAGACCCAACAGGGGCTGGCCATATGCAGCAAACCAATCCAAACTCCTTCATTCCCTGACGGGGCTGTGGCACCTCTACAAAGCTGTGTGCCGTGATCCTTTGGGCCGAGACTGTCTAGAGCGAGAAGTGAGAGCTCAGAGGATTATCACTGCTAGTCTGACATCAGAGACTGGGGCCAGGCCCTGATCATGCCCACACATGGCCATACCCAAGCTGAGCAGTGTCACACATATGGAGACAAACGAAAAATGCAACTCTGACAATTTATGAACAGAAAGCTGCAGCTGCTCACTTGTTCCTCAGCCTCATTAGGTGGAAACTCGATGCCTGGGCACCACAGACACCTGGCAATTTTTATCCCATTGATGCCAGTCCTAGAAGCACCATTCCATGCAGAAAAACTTTCCTTCCCAAATCCCAATACTTAGCCAGCAGTGCTATCAGGTTAACAACCAGCAGACGTGCTAGAGAACCATTGCTGGCTGCACCACAAAGGCTGCAGTCCCCATGACAGGATGAGGAAGATGGCTCACTCCCCTTATCAACTCCTGACACCAAAGAAAATGCCTGATATAAAAAGAAAATCCTTTCAGTGAGAGCTTTACCTTAGCTTGTAAACTGGTAACACTGAAATCTTGCATAGCACTTTCCATCTGGAGCTCTCCAAAGGCTTTACAAAGAAGGCATGTTATCATCAACCCTGTATTATTATCAAGGGAGAGGCTGAGGCCCAAAGAAGCGAAGCAACGCGCAGAAGGTCCCAATGTGCCAATGGCAGCCCCAGGACCTAATCCAATCCCAGTGTCCTACCTGTTGGTTCACGTCATCTCTTCACCAGTTTAGTCAATCATCTTTAAGAGAAAGCTGATGGTTTGGTTCTGACATTGTAGAGGCAAATGCATTCATCACTTGCATTTGAGAGTTATGTCAGCTTCCAAGAGACTGAAGGTAGCACTGCAGGAGGCACTGTGCACCTTGGCAGATTTGCCAAACTGCTTTTAGAAGCACAAACTCCAGCCTACAAGATTATTAAACCTTCTGGGTCTTTGCCTTTTAGAGTGCTTACTCACCCCTGCACTTACAGTTACTTGAGCAGAGAACTTCACCCAAAGCTTGTGCCACGTTGACCTTTCCAACAGCAGCTGACTGACTGATGGCAAAGACATTAGAGAACAGATTTCAGCAACATAAAAGCCTTTAACAACTCTAAAGGCAACTTACCAGGTTTACTGCAAACTGGCAAAAAAAAAAAAGAAATTCCTTTGCTCTGAGACCCAAGACTGAGCATGAGAAATAGTCACAGGGAGTCTGGTGAGAAGGTCAGGGCTTCAAATGAGAGCTGCCTTTTCCTATATGCATGGGACAATAGTTCATGGGGTAGAGACACAATGGGGTGGCCAGATCCAGTTTTTAAAGTTGTGCTCATCACACTCATGATTTTGAATAGTTTATTAAAGGAAAGGTGAAGCATCAGTTTTAAATTGTACAAAAGGAAAAAAAAACCTTATATTGTAAATGTACAATTTACAGAATTACTAGCAAAACCAATCAAGGAGACACTCATAATACAAAAAAATCTATTGACTGCAAACTGAACTGGAAACCCATTGGAGGTACCTTAATAGTAAACTTTTTTTTTGTTATACAGTATTCTACAATGTTAAATTAGGATTCAGTTTTCCACACAGAGGACTGTGAAGCACAAGGTTGGTCTGTGACTATGACTCAAACCAGGCAGCATTCCTTCTGCTACTATTCTCACAGAACTACGGTGCTGACAGTTTAATGCAGCCATTCCTGCCCACCCACTACCCCTTGGGGGTAACCTTCACCCATGATATAAAGCAATGCTCCCGCAAGGGCAGAGGCTTGCAATCCTGACAGCCAAGTTTGAGGAATGGCTAAATCATCAGGTCAAATGTTTTTGGCAACCAAGTCTTCGCCCCCCCGCCCCCCCCCAAGAACTGTACACATTTTAAGAAAAATCTCAGCTGTTAAAAGAATGGAAACATGGTTTGTTTTTACATTAGTTGTTTCTCCCCTCCCAAAAGGTAAGCACTGGGTGTACGTTTGGTTTTTTGTTAGACGACCTTGTAAAAGAGAAAGCTCCGTGACTATTCTGCAGTTGCTAAAAAAAGCACCTCTGAAACTGCTGTGCTTGGTGTGGGTCAGTTGGCTCGGTATTAACGCTAACACTGAAACGCAGAAAGGAAGAGTAACCATTTGTGGCTGATATTTAGAGGTGCTCTGGTTTTCCGTGGGTCTTCCACACCTCTAAATATCAGGCCATTTTCAACTACAGTAGCAGCTATGAGACAGTTGTAAAATCAAAGCAGAATGAAATTCCAAATCGTTGAAGACACTGAAAATCTCTTATTACAATGAATTAGCTGAGAACTTTTTGGGTTTTTTCTTTTTTACTTTCTTGAAAAAATCATTTTTTTTCAAAGAATTACTCTCATATGCACAGTTAACACTGAAAAATGTAGCTGTATTCCATTGTAAGCTTAAGAACTTCACCATCTAAGCACAAATTTCTATGCAGCACATACAGTACTTCTAACTGGCAAAATTAATTTACAAAAATAGCGCAAAAGGGTATTTACGGCATGGAAAGTCGACATTTTTATATGGTACAGTTAAAATTGCTTTTTGAATGCTAAAGTGATTCCTCCCCCCCGAATCTATTTTATATAGGAAAGTTGCTGTTTATGTACCTTGGATTGGCAGGGCATGAAATAGGTAGTAAAAACAGCAAAGTGATTACTTGAGAACCATTTGTGTGTTTTACTGAGAATACTTTATTTGCTGGTATAAGTTGCTAAAAATGCACAGAGCAAGTACCAATAGAAAATGTACTGTTTTGTGTCCCCTAGTGCTATATAAAATGAATGTTACACAGCATCTGTTGGAAAAGTGGCTTCATGGACATCTCTTACTTTATGCCCCATTATAAATAAAAATAAATCTTCTCAAGAGTATAAAATCTGGGTTTATCATATCAGTATCTGAACGTTTTTTGGCAGAGATGCACTTCATTAGGATTCTAACCTCTTTTGTAAGAGTGTTCTTCTCAATGCCTATGAGAGGATATAAGCGTACCATATTATTAATCAAATCCAGTGTGTTCAAAAACACGTTTCTGTAGCCAGGATGACCTGCTTATAGCATCATTGCTAGTCAATGGCTGACAGGCATAGGTTTAATAAAAATGGCTAGCTTTTAAAACATAAAAAGGCAAATGTTAAAACAGTTTTAAATTGTACAGCAGAAAAATAAAGTTAAAAAGTTCTGTTTTCACTCAACGCTGTTTTCAGAAAACATATGTAGAACAGTGTTTATTTTGACAGCTGTCTTAACAATTTAAAACTTCCTCCCCATCCAGAAAAAAAATCTGTATTAGGACAGTCAAGAACAGGGATACAAATGATTTTTTAGGTCAGCCTTTCTGAGGTGATTGGATTGGCCAACATTCCTTTGTGTCATTAAGAAGTTCCTCTTCTCTCTCACTACAAAAAGGGATTGACCTTAATCATTTGGTTAAAAATCAAACTGTAGCACATCAAAAATGTGGTTTTCATACAAGCTATCACAGTATATAGGCCTCTAGCTCTAAACAATAGAGTTCCAAATTTGTAAAATCTCTTCACCAGACTTCAGAACATAGGCATTCCGAATCCCTACAGAAAACAATTGAGAGACAACAGTTAGCCGGAGGCCAAAACAAGAGGATCCTCAAACAGTGAACAATGCAAAGCAGGATCTTACTGAATCATCCTCAATGATAGCTGCAGAGTCAAAGAAGTCCGGCCTCAATTCAGCCCGTTCTCGTCGGTTTCTTGAGGGTGGCTGGAAAGAGAGGAATTTGTTTAACTGTCCTTACAATTAGGCAGCGCAAGGTCCCTGGTCAGGGCAATGGGCTAAGCTGACTCGACATGAAAGAACGGCAGGTACTGGATGTAGACAGGAGCATGCGAGCACCTTCCTCAAGGGAGGTGGGCTTGGCAAGGAGTTCCAAATCATTTTATATCCAGGAAAAAACACTTGTGACAGCTGCTTGACATCAAGTATGTATTTGAGTCTGAAGCCAAAGGAAATAGGTCTATGCCCATCCTTAAGCACTTGTGTAAGCACCAGGCTATCAGAAGCTTTCTGCTGCTCTTCACTTCATTTCTGAGACAAATCAGTTATGAAACTGGAGTGCAACTACAGCCACAAAGGCACCTTAGCAGGACACTGCAGCTCAGGTTGGGGTCAATCTATTCCCTTTGGCCTTGATCCTGCAGCTCTGGGAGCTCTGCTCCGTTGGAATGGGAGCTGGATGGAACCCTTCATCTCCTACCACCTGGACTATGCAAGAAAAGGTTTTACGTATCTGCAAGATGATGTGTGGGTAAGACAAGTTCAGTCTTGGGCAGAAGCAGCTACGTATTTAGCTGCATGTCTGTTCCAAAGGACATGGAAAAGTATGATCTTAGGGCTTGGACCCGTGTGCCCCGCTTGTAACCCTGGTTTAAGATTAGGATGGACAGGACAAGAGAAGCCAGTCTGAATTATGCAAAATGCTCTCACTTTTAGGAAAAGATGATTGATTGGTCCCGTTTCCTTCCTGCTCTGCATTTTTTTCTACTTCGCATAATGAGACAACCAAGCTTCTGAAATTCAAAGGCCAGTAAATTTATATGCAACAAAAGGGAACGGGATGCAGCACGCAGCCTGGGTATGGCCACAAGAGGTCACTGAAAGAAGCTAAAACCCTTTTTAAAGCCCAGTTGCACTGCTGAGTTGCTTGCACTGCTGCTGCTAGTAACAATTAGCCTTGCGGGAACACTTCCTCATGCTGTGGGACATGTAATGATCTCCTGTTAGGAGAGATTTTTTTCTCATTGCATTATGCAACTGGCAAAAGGCCTGTCTACACAGGGAGCTGGTATCCATAAGCAAGGGCCAGGCTTTCCTTTACATTAGGGCTGCTCCATGTTTACTCCCTGCATTAAAACCTTGAGTATTTCTTCAAAAGTTATCTTTTTGTGTGGTCCCTGGAAGTGTACTTAATTTCTTTGCTCTGAGTGGGTACTAACACTGTACACCTGGAGGCTTAGCATGGTGTAGTTAGTGAGCTGCAAGTCCATACTGTATCTCAAGGAGCACTAGTTGCCTCTATGTGCTTTATCACGTTTTCACTTTCACCAAGTATCAGGTCCTTGCTTGTGTCAGCAGCAGGACACTAGGCTACTGATGCCAAACATTATGCCCTGTGTTTCTATGAACACGGAATTGGTCAGGACTACATTTGTAGCTTTGAGCCAAGGGAGCCAAGTGGGCTGCTCCAGTCCTCTCCCACTTCTGGGTGCTTACGCCACTGAAAGTGGCACATAATCCTGGGAAGCTGCCTTGGCAGTTTTGTCACTTTTAACCATCCTGCCTCCATATTATACTTGCTATTAATAACCACCATCTACTGACCAGATCGATGACCATGGTGTCCTCAAACTCCTCGTTCATGTCCTCGAGCTGACCTCGTGAGGACATCATTACGTCTTCAAAGATAGGCTCAGCATCATCCTCCATTAGGCCCCGTCTGATTGAGAGAGAGAAAAAACAGTCATGGCATTTAATTCTTCCAATTATGGGATTTCTCCTTTGTAAGGATAAAGGAATACATAATCACCCATCCTGCTTCCTCTGTGTCATGCATGTATTTATTTACCCATTTCTTTGATTTATGTGCCACCGTCCCCAAAGGGGCTCATGGCAGCTTACACGGAGGCTTACAAAGACGAGATTTTTTACCATATTACCTCTGAAAGAGATCTCAGCTGAAAAGGAAGTTAACACTTGGAGGTGTGAGACGCTGAGGTACGAAGTCCTATATCACTGCATTATATACAACATACAATGCCAGATCCACCAGGCAGGTCAGTGCTGACCTCACTTTACAATAGGGCAAGCAAGCCTGGAAAGGTCATGTGATTGCCCAAAGTCACATGGTGAATAATCCAGGAAGGCTGAGGGGAGAACCTTGTGCTCCAGAGACTTGATGCTGCCAGGTTGTGGGCACTGTGACCCCACTGGCACTTCAGCCAACGGACAGTGGTAAGTAGGAGAGGGCCCTGCATTAAAACAGCACATCTGCGGATTGTGATGTAGTCCACCGACTGCCCAGCACCCGGCATCCCATGCTGCGTCCTTTGCTGCATATCCCCGCTTAGAAAGCAGTTACTATGTCTTTATTAAGAGAGAGAAAATGTCACACAGACTATGAGCAGCGGTGCAGGTTATGGTCTTCCATGAAGAACCTCACTAATCAAAATTCCTCAGCACCAAATGTGGCCCTTGTGCCCATGATCTGTGTGGGGTTTTGCACACTTACACAGCATGCCTTACACCGCTTCTCCCTTTCATGTAGTTCATTCCTGTCCTGTCCTTTCGATTTAGATCTTCTAGCTTCTGCTGGCCCAGCCAAGATATCTGCATCTGGGGACTGACACAGGAAGAACAGTGTTATGAATTCAGCCATGCCACTGAGACTGTAGTGATTTTCCCCGGATGTCGTCTCAGCCCATTTTGAATCAGGCCATCCTCGAGACTGAAAAGCGTTCCAACCCTGTCCCATTATATGGATGGGTCTTCACACCTACTGCTCCAGTTTGTTGCTCTTGTGGCACATGATCAATACATTTGTTAAACTCTGTGTAATAAAAGTGGCCACATGCCACCATGCTGGTACTTTGTACTCCTACCATGCTGGAACGTTCCTACTTTAATTGGTGCTATTTCATTGGCTCAAATCTGGCACTGCGCACAAGAATACCTGCAACCCCAAGGTTAACACACATTTCAGCAGGCACAAGATGCCATATAAAAAAAGGAAAAGCAAACGATGCTTAAACTATAGTACAAATTACTGGAGGGCCCAGAAACAACAGATATGTGACTGCCTGAAGGGCTGGACTTAAATGACAGGTCTATGCAAGGGAGGTCACCACAGCATGAGCAGAGCCAACAGAGTACCTGGGAACTTCAAAGCATCAAGTTCTTTTATTTTATTACAATTATACGATTCCACCCAATTGAAACTGACAGAACAAGCTGAAGTCATCGAGCCCCTGCATAAAAAGAGACACCACTTGAGGTGACGGATCTCTGGTAGGGGCATGATTGTTTGTTCATTAGCCATTTGTATTGACCATCAAGCCTATGTGCAAAAGCACTCAAGACCTGGGGACTGGGTGCAAAAATACCTCTCCATGGCACTGAGGACACTGACTGAAATTTAGTTAAAGGCAGAACACGATCTGATCCATGATCTCAATGCTTGTGCCTCCCTTCAAGTCTCCGGCAGCGTGCTCCTAAAGCTGGGAGTGCTGATCAGCTGATTGGCACTGGCCCCACACTCAATCTAAGGTGTGATGGGAACCAGCCATGTATTTTGTGTGATAACTTTGCATCTTATTCCCCATTTTATTGTGCCATTAACTGCATGCACATGTGGCCTGGTTACTACTTAAGATGGTATTAACTGGTTAATCATGTCTCAAGTATAATGCCTGCTAGGGGCTGAAGGCGCCTAGGGATATATTAAAAAAAAGGGAACCATAGACTCTGAGCTGCACAATCTAAATTTGAGGGGTCTTGTGGCCTAGGGGATCTCATACTCTCAAGGTAACTGCTCAGGGCAGAGAGTTAGGGACCTCTGAATGGGCTTCATCAAGCCAGCTTTCTGAATGGAGAACCACCTAATGCCAAGGAGAAGAGTACCCCTGTGTACTGCTGCACACATGCTACTCCAGGATCCAGAAGCAGTGTAACTGCACGTGTGTGGTGCTGTAGGCAGACTAGTTGGCACATGCTCTCAGCAGGCAGTGCAATGTGTTCCAATGCTCAGCTGTCTGGCACAGGAAGTCTGTGGCATGCCTTGTAACCGCTATGGCTAATCCCAACTCTTGCCCAGCCTGATGTATTTGACAGCGATGTTCTGGCACTTACTTGTGTAAGAAATCCTGTTCAGATCCTTGTTCTGACTCATGCTCTTGGATCTGCTCTCCTATTTGTCTCGTGTTTTCTCTCAAGACAGTTGAGGTGAGCTGTGGTGCTTGAAGAGCCCCTGGAGTTTGTATGTTGTCATTCCTGTTCAGCCATGAGCCTTCCAGATTCTCATCTATCAAAGGACAATTCCATTTAGGTAACTGCATAAGACAGTGCATGTCGCAGCGGTTACTACAGCTGATCAGCATTCAACAGGGTATTTATTGGGAGCACCTAGCTGGGTAAACACTAAGTGTCAGAGCACAGACAGTGCTAACCCAGGCCTTTCCCCCAGGTGTATATGCTGCTATAGCTCAATGCCACAGCTGTAGCAGCTTCTGCAAAAGAAGTTATAAATTAAGTGATTTAGACAACAAATCATTCCATGTGTAATGGATTGAGGTGGATTAACTGCCAAGAAGCTTAATTTGTGACTCTAATTTAATTTTGTATTAGTACTGAGAAGGAAAAATCTTTGAAATGCTGATTATTTCCCATGTTTCCTATTCAAAGTCGTCATATCTAATTAGTACAAAAAATAATACTTAAAAAAAAAATCTGCATTGCAAGGGTGTCTAGAGCATAAGGTTCTGTGCATGCATTTGCAACTCGAAGACAGTTCCCATCCTAAACAGTTTACAATTCAGTTGGAAAATGACAGACAACATAAGGTTAGAATACACAAAATGATTAGGGACTAATCTGGTTGAGAGGCGATACATATATTTTGCTGATGGGTCAAACCAGAGGCCTGACAAACAAACAGTGCATATTAAGCACTTAAAACCAATTGTGCTTAATTTTGCAGAATATTCTAAGATTCCAAACTATGAACAACAGGAATAAGACTGAAAAATATAAGAAACAACAGGGAATGTTCACAAAAATTCATCTTACAGACACTAAGATTTTTTTTCTGTTACTTGGTAGCAGTTATCATGATAGCTTATGAACTAAGGAGTTGACAATGTCATTTTTTAACAGTTTAGTATCATCAGATGCTCAAGTCCTTTAATGTCCTTTGTTTGAAAGTGATTTTTAAGTAACTTCAATTTGCTGAAAGTTCATTCCCCCTCAGAAAATGTTAGTGGCCTTGTTTTTGCAAATAAAAGGCTTTCTTGTTATGCAATTTCAAACAGCTGACTAAAATCCGCATTTCACCAATTTTCTGGGAATGTTCCATTTCTCTTTGCAGTACATTATGGCTCACTGGTAAGAAAATAAATTGCTCCACAGAACTGTAGCACTTTGCAGAATTTGCTTCCATGAAAAATGCAAAACAATGGGATCTTTTATTTGTTTGGTCATCATATGGCTCATTCTAGCTCATTCATAGGTAGTATAAGACAGAGCCTTTGTAAACTCTGTTTTGTTTTTAACATTGTAAGAGCTTCTTCGTCACTCCTGGTGTCACACACCCAAACAATTTCATTATGAAAACACACAGGCTTTCAACGTACTCTGTGGATTTGATTAAAACAATTTTCTGGTTGATACTCACATCATGCATCTGATGAAATGACCTTTAACTTTTCAACTGTCTTGCTTTAATTTGGCGCACAAGTTCTTCACTGTTGTCACAAGCCCTTTTCAAAGATCTCCTATTTATTTAATCAGATTACATATAGCTAAGGTATCTGGATTCACTGACTGAACTGCATTAGGTTTGTCCCAATAACAAACATCAACTGTAAAACAAAATCCAATTTTGTAATTATCTTCAGCAAATTGAAGACTGACTTGAATTGAAGATGATCCCCTGAGTAGGAGGTTGGACTAGATGACCTTGTGAAGTCCTTTCCAGCTCTACTTTCCTATGATCATATGATCTCAGAACCAGTACTCCATCCTCATCTTTGGGTTCATCATCATTTTTAAGGGACCACTACTTAAAGACTTCTCAAGTCTTCTCAAGCATCGGTGAGAATCAAAGTCAGAACAACAGAATTAACAGGCAAGATCTGGGAAAGGACGAGTGTTGGTGGCAGCTTTTCAGTGGAGTGTAGAGGAAAAAGGCTAGCTAGGAGGGCTTGGGGAAAGGACTAAATAGTGATTTCTCCAAGCACTCCCAAGTAACCTTGAGAGGAAGGGAAGAAGTGGGACGGGGCAGTGGTTGGAGATGCAACCAAAATCAACCATGAGTGTTTTCAGGGATGCTCATACTGTGATGGTGCTAAACCAGAAGGGAAGGAAAGGCTGCAGGAACAGATGAGAGTGGATACAATGAGAATGAGGAAATGGGATGAAGCTGCTGGGGCACCTGAAGGGATTATAGAAGAGTAGGCAAGAAACCTTAGTTTTACTGATGGGGGGTAGGAGTAGATGTTTAAAATGGGCAAGGGTTAGGAAAGAAAGAGATAGGATAAGAGAAACTGATGGATCCTGTCTGGCTTTCTTCTTGTGCTTAAATGTCACCTTTTGTTCTTTAATGTACCCTACCAGAAACGCCCGTGAAGCACCTATGACACTACATTTATTTCATGGTCTCTTTTCAGATTTTCATGGCACTTGATTTTCTTAAGGCACTCAGAATTCAGGTCAAGGGGAATTGGAAGCGATCTGCTTTCTGTAACGACCATGGATAGACTCTGGAACCAAATGACTGCTCAACCTGTTGAAGGCTTGGATGAAGCTAAAATACACAACTATAGAGGGCCTAGTTGCAGTTCCTAGATCCTGGGACTGTTTTCACCCTATTCCTAACCTAGGTATAGAGCTGAGCAGCTTAGTAGTACAACTTGCATAGGGCAAAGATTTTGGCATAATGTGTCCTACTGGAGAGAGACAAGACATGATAGTGACTTTATTTCTCTGTTGACGTGTTCCTCTTCTATCCTAAAAGGAAGTGCTTATTCTCTGTATTTTCTTTCTCTCCCAGTGTTTCCTTACTGCACATCTGCTGTGTTTTGCTATTGTCTCTTGTGGACTGTTAGCTCCATGGGGCAGGAGGAGCCTGGGACAACAGGGTCCTAGGTATTACCACAATGCAAACATAACTAATGTTAATAGCAATGGCTTAAATCTGCCTTAATGCTTTACGCTGGACCAATCCCATTATTTAGCATCTGCGTGTAATCCATGGGGATTACAGTGTTGCCAGGAGCTGCAGTAACCACTCTCATGTTGAGGACACATACTTCTATGTATCCTTTACAAACCAAGTAAACAGTTCTGCTTCAGATACTACATTGCCTGGGTGAAAAAGGAGTACAGATGACGACCAGATGGTTTTATGCAAATCCAGGAATATGAAGTAATGCAAAATGGAATCGCAGGGAAGAGCTGGTAAGCACACTTCCTCTAGCATCGGGAA